TCCACTCACCTCGGCCTCCCAAAGTGCTGGGATTACAGGCTGAGCCACCAAGCCCAGCTATTATTATTATTGAGTTGGGGGGGTCTCACTCTGCTCTCCAGGCTGAAGTGTAGTTGTGGCAGGATCGTGGTTCACTACAGCCTTGACCTTCTAGGTTTAGGTGATCCTCCTGCCTCAGCCTCCCAAATAGCTGGGACTACAGATACACATCACCATGTCTGGATAATTTTAAAGTTTTTTTATAGAAACGAGGTCTCACTATGTTACCCAGGCTGGTCTCAAACTCCTGGACTCAAATGATCCTCCAGTCTTGGCCTTCCAAAGTGTTGAGATTACAGACATAAGCTTCTTTTACTTTAAATAATGGAGTAAATTTAATTGTCATAATAGTTTGTAGCTTGTTATTTACTGATTAAGTCTTTTTATTAAAATGGAAGAAGCTTTGGCTGAGCATGGTGGCTCATGCATGTTATCCCAATACCTTAGGAGGTGGAGGCGAGAGGATTGCCTGAGCCCAAGGGTTTGAGACCAGCCTGGGCAACTTGGCAAGATCTAGTCTATAAATAAATAAAGAAAATTAGCTGGGTGTGGTGGTGCATGCCTGTGGTTCCAGCAACTTGGAAGACTGAGGTAGAAGGATAACCCACCCAGTAAGTCAAGGCTGCAGTGAGTGTGCCACTGCACTGCAGCCTAGGCGACAGTGAAACTCCTACTCAAAAATAAAAATAAAAAAGAAAGAAGCTTTGTTCGGAATTTTAAAATAACGTGCTACATAGTAACAGAAAAAAATTGTAATGTAAGAAAATATAAAGAAGAAAATAAAAAGCACTAGTAATTCCACCATTTATAACCTAAGTAAAGTCTTCTAAGAACTCCATATATGTATATGTAATTATTAAATATATTACTATATTATGAATTATATATTAAAATGATGATATTGTTTACACAAAAGGACCTAGAATGTGACTATGCCATAATTTACCTAGTTACTGGTTATTTGTCATAATAATAGTGATGCTGGGTGAACATCTTGGCATATGTCTTTCTTTTCTTAGGTTGTATTTCCTTTAAGTTAAATGCTGACTTTATTGACCTACCTTTTGAATTTTATTTCTCAAATAGTTGAACCAATTTTCACTTCCAGGATTTGAGTGTTTCTATTTCCCCAAATATTTAACAAATTTAGATGTTGAACATCTATTTTATCTTCATCAGTGTGATAGATAAGAGATAGCTCATTTGTATTTACAATTATTATATTGCTGTCTTTTCAAATATTTATTAATTGTTTGAGTTTTTTCCTTTGTGGTTTGCTGATTGGATTGTTATTTGTATAGAAGGAGAAGTGGGACCTACTGGCCAAGATAAGTCTGAAGTGTCAGAAAATTCAGAAATCCCTAATGAACTTTCTTCCAATGTCAGGTCTGTGTACTTTTAATCCCTTTACCTTGGAACAGTGATCACATCTAGGACACTGCTATGCTGCTTCTCCCCTTTTGCCTTTTATCTAGTGCTTGAGCTAACTTATGAGGAATTACTTTTTATTTTTTTATTTTTTTGAATTGGGCGTGAGTTGAGTGCAGCGGCATGCTTATAGCCACAGCAGCCTCAACCTTCTTGGCTTAGGCGATCCTTTCGCCTCAGCCTTCCAAGTAGCTGGAACTATAGATGCATACCACCACGTCCTGCTAGGTTTTTTTTTGTGATTTGTGGTAGAGATGAGGTCTCACCAAGTTGACCAGGCTGGTCTTGAACCCCCGGGCTCAGGCAATCCTCTCACCTTAGCCTCTCAAAGTGCTGGGATTGCAGGCTGAGCCACCGTGCCCAGCTGAGGAATTACTTTTAAAAGGAAAACAAAAACTATGTAAATTTTCTGTACCTGAGCTATATAACTATATGTAGAACATTTTCAAGATTTGGGAAATTCAAAATTATAGCTGGATTATGTCATGTTTTTATTAATGAAAAATATGTTAATTTTTTTGGTACCTTGAAATTACTGAAAATATAAACTTAAAAGATGAATACCTTCCAATTTGTCAGATTACTATTCTGTAGAGTAGTATGTCCTAACTAGCATATTGATGAAGTCCTGGAAATTAGTGTTAACATTAACCCAGCTTTTCTTCTGTGCACTTTGAAATGTATATGTGTTTCATGACCTTTTTTTGGTTTTGCAATATTTGTGTTTAGAAGAATACCTCGGCCTGGGAGTGCAAGACCTGCGCCTCCCCGGGTCAAACTACAAGAAAGTGCAGAAGCATTACCAATAGATAGGTAAGGCTGATTGGCTGAGTGGTTCCAGTCATACTTGTACTCTCCAATATGTGGGGGACTGTGGAATAGTAGACGTACACTGGTGTCCCCGCCAAGAGATGGTGTAGGGGATGCAGCAGATGGTACCGAGAAACTTGCTTTTGAGGAAACAAAACATGAGGGTAGGCCCTCACCTCCGACCATTGACCAATAAATATTTTGGGCAGAGAAAAGAGAAAAAAAAAATACATATAAAACTTAAAATATATTGAAAAATGTTGGGCTGAGTCTATCTGATCTCTAGATAGAAGACTTTTTAAGCATCATAACAATGCGGAAAAAGTAGGAAAACAGTTTAAAGGCTTAATTGTACAAAAATTAAAAAATTAAAAATAGAAGGTTGTAAAAGAAGTTATAAGCAATATAAAGACAAGCAATAGAGAGGATGGATTAGAATGTGTTTCAGATTGAATAAGAGTCAGGAATTGGAGGCAGCAGGAGTAGACAACATGTTTTTCTTTTTTGAGTCAGAGTTTCACTCTGTTGCCCAGGCTGAGTGCAGTGGCACGCTCATGGCCACCACAGCTGCGACCTGCTGGGCTCAGGTGATCCTTCCATCTCAGCCTTTCAAGTAGCTAGAACCACAGGCGCATGCCACCATGCCTGACTAATTTTTTAAAATTTATTTGTAGAGACAAAGTCTCACCAAGTTACCCAGACTGGTCTCAAACCCCTAGGGTCAGGCAGTTCTTTCACCTCAGCCTCCCAAAGTGCTGGGATTACAGGCGTGAGCCACTGTACCTGGCAACATGTTTTTCCAGAAGTTTTGTAGGGAGTGGGAAAGATAGTGTCAAGGAAGGTTATTGTTTTTTTCCTTTAAGATGAGAGAAATATCACATTTTTTGATGATGGGAACGGTTCATTGAAGAGGGATAAAGCGATGATGTAGGAGATATGGGATGGGGGAATTGGTAGAGCAGAGTTTCTTTGTGGGTGTGGGGATGGGAGTGGGGTGGGCTAGGGCACGGAGAGACTGTGTGTGGTACAAATTCTTAAGGTGACTCTCTTGATGCTTCATTTTTCTTGTGAGCTGAAAGCGAATCTTGGGGAAAACAAGTAGGAAGTCAGAGGAGAAGAGATGGCGTGATGTCGTTGTGCACAAAAGTGGAGTGGTGAATGGACTGGATCAGAGGTCCATGTCTGGAAACATTTTTTAGTGTCATGACTAGGGAGGGGTGGAGGAGAGAAGGTTCTTGTAATCTAGCTGAGGGGCTGGACCAGGGCAATGCACAGGAGAGCCCCACCACAGAGGAGGATGGGGCCATGTGCACGGGGTTGAAGTGGAGACCCTAACTGAGAGAAATCCAGCTTGACTGCAGGGCAGCATTATGTGCGCATGGGCATGAAGAGACAGGATTCAATGTGGCTATGTTCTCCAGCCAGGGTCAGCTAGCTGCACAGGTATTGGCACGGGTGGCACAGAGTTAGAATAAATGTGGCTGGGATTGTGCCAAGCAAGTACAGTAGAGAGAGAGAAGGGAAGGGATTCAGTGTGTGCAGAAGAGCCATAGTCATAACCGAGGTGGGATTTATGCCAGTGATGGAGGAGAGGAATTCTCCGGGGTGAAGGACATGAGTAGGTGGTAGGATTAAGAGGCTAGAGGCACTGGTGGGGTTGAAGGATTGTTGGAGTCAGATCCTGGGGCATGGGCTACAAAGTTGGTTGGTGGTGGTTAAAGAATGAAGAGCTTGCTGTTAGATTGCGGTGACCCTGTGAGTGGATGGTGGGTAGTGGAAGTGGGATCATCCCAGGAGAGTTCAAGGACCCAAGACTTGAGTATGGAAAGGATCATTTCTCAATGCTTGAAATCATGAATTAAGGAGGAAGCAGCATTGGTGAGAGTGGTGATGCCAGGAGGATGGAGCAGGGCTCAGGCTTGGCAGCTGGCAGCAGCAGTGATGGGGTTGAGGGTGAGAGAGTGACAACATGAGATTCAAAGTTAACTGACCCTCTTGGGCCTGTGACAGGCAGCCAATGGGAGGAAGAACAGCTGCAGCTGAGGCCTGCAGGGAAGCAGCATCATTAGAGAGCAGAGCGAGGATGGGGGAGATTTGTTGATGAGTGTGGGAGTGAATGCATGGAAGGGCAGGCTGTGGGGAGGGTGAGATGTGGCCACAGTGGGAGTGTGTAGAAAGTGCAAGAGATAGGAGGGGCAGGAGCCTGGGGCTTCCTGTAGTACTGACATTGCAGGGAGGAAGGACAAGATGAAGCTGGTCCTGGTGGAGCCGCACACATGGCTGTTGAGGGTCTGAGGGCTGCATTGAAGGAATTGAAGATGTTTGAGAAGGGCTTCCACCTAAATGTCTGGATTTCTTCTGGACCTTGTGCATTGCACTGGAAGCAAGGGAAGGGTTTGAGGTGCATGTATGCACATGTGCTACCCAGTGCTATTGGGGCTGATGAGTTAGGGGATTGGTTAAAACATGACTGTACAAGCCAGGCTTGGTGGCTTAGCCTCTAATCCCGTGCTTTGGGAGGCTGAAGTAAGTGGATTGCCTAAGCCCGTGGGTTCGAGACCCGCCCGCGCAACTTGGCGAGCCCTCATCTCGACAATAAATCAAAAAATTAGCTGGGCATGGTAGCGCGTGCCTGTAGCTCAAGCTACTTGGAAGGCTGAGGCGGAAGGATTGCTGAGCCCAGCAGGTTGAGGCTGCGGTGACTGGTAGCAGCCACTGCACTCCAGTCTGGGTGACAGAGTGAGACTCCAACTCAAAAAAAAAAAAAAAATCCGGGCTTGGTGGCTCAGTCTGTAATCCCACGCCTTTGGGAGACTGAGGTGAGTGGATTGTCTGAGCCCCCAGGTTTGAGACCCACCTGGGCAGGCGAGACCTCATCTCTACAATAAATCAAACAATTAGCCGGGCGTGGTAGCGCATGCCTGTAATTCCAGCTACTTGGAAGGCTGAGGCGGAAGGCTGAGGCGGAAGGGTCGCCGGAGCCCAGCAGGTCGAGGCTGCGGTGGCCGGGAGCGACCACTGCACTCCAGTCTGGGCGACAGAGTGAGACTCCAACTCAAAAAAAAAAAAAATGACCGTACAAAGTTGCATAGGAAACAAACAGCAGGAGGAGCTGACAGGGATCCCAGAGAGTGTTTGGGTCTAGAAGTAAGTACCTGGCCATAGGAAGCTGACAGTGGTCTGAGCAGGGAAGCTGTATGTAGGACAGTTCTAGTGGGTGGCCCTGGAGGGCATGAGAGAGTCTTTGGATGAAGGAGGTCACCAAGGAGGACAGCATCAGGGGCCAGGATGCTGGATGTTTGTTGACTTGCCCAGAATGATGGCAGGTGGAGAGAAAGTGCTTATGTGGATGATGCTGGGCAGGGACATAGAGCAGCAGCAGTGACTAGGAGTTGAATGTGGGGGCCTTGAGGTGACTGAGAGGAAAGGTCTGGGGTCAGTGCTAACCAATGGGGCTCCCAGTGCAACCGCCTGCCTTGAGGTTTGTGGCTTGGGAGAATAGGTCCCTCTAGGTAGAGGGCAGCAGGCAAAGGGCATGTCTCACAGAGAGCTGGTGCTGGGAGAGCTGGAGGTTTTGAGGGCTTTTGTTAAGTATAGGGCACAGTGATGCTGTGGGGCAGGAGGCCCGGTGGACTAGGAAGTCTGGGCAGCACAGGAGAGGGGAGTTGGCTGGGGCATGGGGGCTAGGCTGACATCTCAAGTGGAAGACAGGGCTCACAGGGACCTAGACCTGGAGGGCTTCTTTGAGGACACTTGCAAACAGTTCATCCTCAACTTCAACTTGTATTTTGTGGTACTGTTCTAGAGATGGTTAGTGGTTAAAGTTCTCTCAGATAACCTCTAACACAGTTCCAGATGCATGGAATTGATGAAAACTTGTGACTGATAGAGCATTTCTAATTTAATCAATTTCTTCTTATTTAGGACAGGGAGTGGTAAAGCCGTCGCAAATGTGATTATAGATTCACAGAATTGTGACAACGAAGAGGATGATCAGTTTGTGGTGGAAGCTGCCCCTCAGCTCTCCGAAATGTCAGAAATTGAAAAGGTTAGTTAACAAAGTGTGGTTACAAATATAAAATGATTATATCTTAACCTACATTGGAATTAATGCCTTAGCTTTTAGATTTATGTAGACAAAATTTTTCAGTTAGTTTTCAACCTTCTTTAATTTTGTCATTCCTTTTTTGAGCTCCACAAAAAGTGAGACTTCAGCAAACCTTAATCCTTTTTCCTCCTTCTTTTCCTGCTTAGGTACCAGCAGTAGAATTAGAAGAAGAAGAGAAGCATGGTGAGTTCTGGGCACGTGTTCTTGTGTACATGCATGCTCCTCCTCCATGTATGCTTGCAAAGAATCCAGTGCACATTATCGTTATGTGCCAGGTTCTGGTCCAGAGTCATTCTAATGGTGTGTAGGACCCTGTGGGCATGGGCTCCTCCTCTGTGGATGGGTATGGCTGCTGCTTCCCATCCTTAGAGGCCTGGAGGGCACCATGGAACACTGGTAACTCACTGTGAGCTATCACGCAGATGACTTCTTTTCTTATCTATATAGTTAGATTGTGAAAGTAGATGAGCTCTAGGTCCTTCACAAGTCTAGTTCTGTAATATTTGTTTTCTTCCCAAGTACAATGTTTTCTTTTATTTCAAACATTTGCAAAATAGAGTGAATTGCCTAATAAATAGCAGTTATCAGCTTGTCTTTTTTTTTTTATAGCAATGTAGGGTATAAGTGAGGGTTAACTACATAAGTAGACTGTATGCAGGTGAAGTTTGGGCTTCTAACTGGCCCTCACTCCCCTGGTTGTGAGCCAGGTAACCTTTCCTCTCTCCCTCCCCTAGCAGTGCCCAGCGACTGCTGTTCCCTCTCTTGTGCTAATGTCGCTAGTGTTCAGGGCCCACTTATGAGTGAGAACATGTGGTATTCAGTTCTTGTTTCTCTGATAGTTCGTTTAGTATGATGGTCTCCAACTCCATCCTATTTGCTGTAAAGTCCATGATTTTATTCTTCTTTATGGCTATGTAATACTCAATCATGTATATGTGCCACATTATCCAATCAACTTTCGATGTGTATCTGGGTTGGTCCATGTTTTTGCTATTGTGAATAGTGTGACAAAAATGTATGTGCAGGTGTCTTTTTTGTAGAACAATTTATGCTCCTCTGGTTATAGTCCCAGGAAATGGATTATTGGATTGTATGGAAGATCAATTTTTATTTCTTTTAGGAATTGCCACACTATTTTCCATAGAGGTTGAACTAGCTTACACTCCCATCAACAGTGTAGAAGGGTTCCCTTTTCTCCAGCCCTGTGCCAGCATCTGTTGTTTTTTGACTTATTATTTATAGCTGTCCTTACTGGAGTTAGGTGGTATCTCATTATAGTTTTGATTTACATCTCTCTGATGATTAGTGAGATTGAATATCTTTCCATGTGTCTGTTGGCTGCTTGCTTGTCATCTTTTGAAAAGTGTCTGTTCATATCCTTTGCCCACTTTTTAATGGGGTTGTTAGTTTTTTTCCTTTCACTTCGTTTGAGTTCCTTGTAGATCCTGGATGTTAGGCCTTTTTTCCCCCCCATTCTGTGGGTTATCTTTTTACTTTGCTGATGGTTTCTTATGCTGTGCAAAAGCTTTTCAATTTGATGAGGTCCCACTTACCAATCTTAGCTTTTATAGCATTCGCCTTTGGGGATTTGGTCAAGAATTTGTTGCCTACTCCAATGTGCATAAGCGTGTTTCCTATGTTTTCTTCTAGGATTTTTTTTTTTTTTTTGAGTTGGAGTCTCTCTCTGTCGCCCAGGCTAGAGTGCAGTGGCATGGTCAAGGCCACTGCAGTGTCGACCTGCTGGGCTCTGGCGATCTTTCTGCCTCAGCCTTCCAAGTAGCTGGAACTACAGGCGCGTGCTACCACCCCTGGCCAATTTTTTATTTATTGTAGAGATGAGGTCTTGCCAAGTTGCCCTGCTGTTCTTGAACCTACGGGCTCAGGTAATCCACTCGCCTCGGCCTCCCGATCTTCTAGGATTCTTGTAGTTTGAGGTTTTCATTTAGGTTTTTGATTCATTTTGAGTTGATTTTTTGCACTTGGTGGGTAGGGAGCCAGTCTCATTCTTCTGCATGTGGTTAGTCAGTATTCCCAGCACCATTTGCTAAATATGGTCTCCTTTCCCCAATGATTATTATTGATGGCTTTGTTGGATGAGTTGGTTGAGAGGCTGTGTTTTTAATTCTGGAATCTTTGTCCTGTTCCATTGGTCCATGTGTTTATTCCTGTACCAATTTGAGTACATCTTGGTTGCTATAGCCTTTTGTTTAAAGTCTGGAAGTGTGATATCTCCTGCTTTGTTTCTTTTGCTAAGAATTGTTTTGGCTATTCATGCTTTTTTTTGTTTCCATATGAATTTCTCTATTGTCATTTCCAGGTGTGTGAAAAATGATGTTGGTAATTTGATGAGTATTTCACTGAATCTGTAGATTGCCTTTGGTAGGATGAACATTTTGACAATATTGATTCTTCCGATCTTGAGCATGGGATGTTTTTCCATTTGTTTGTGCCATTCTTGATTTCTTTTTTTTTTTTTTTTTGAGTTGGAGTTTCACTCTGTCACCCAGACTGGAGTGCAGTGGCCACTCCCGGCCACCGCAGCCTCGACCTGCTGGGCTCCGGCGATTCTTCCACCTCAGCCTTCCAAGTAGCTGGAACTATAGGCACACGCTACCACACCCAGCTAATTTTTTGATTTTATTGTAGAGATGAGGTCTCGCCAAGTTACCCAGGCGGGTCTCGAACCCGCGGGCACAGGCAATCCACTCACCTCAGCCTCCCAGAGCACAGGATTACAGGCTGAGCCAGCAAGCCCGGCTCATTCTCGATTTCTTTGAGCATCGTTTTGAAGTTCTTGTTGTAAAGGTCTTTCACTTCTCTGGTTAGGTGGATGCCAAGTTCTTTCTTTTTTTTTTTTTTGTGGCTATTGTGAATGGGATTGTACTTTTTATTTGGTTCTCAGCATGCTTTTTGCTGGTGTATTGAAATGTAACTGTCTTTTGCATGCTGATTTTGTATTTCTTTTTTTTTTTTTTTTGAGTTGGAGTCTCACTCTGTTGCCCAGACTGGAGTGCAGTGGCC